ATTATACTTATCTTGCCTGTTTTCTTTGTTGAGATTTCTTTATAAAGAGTAGATTCTATGAGGTGGGAAATAAAGGCTGAAGTTTGCAAATAATATCCAATAATAATAATAATAATAATAATAATAATAATAATAATAACTGAACTCTTTTCTTAAAATCTCACTAATATAATTTATATTTACTAACTTTCACTTTTTTCCAAATAATGTAAACATATGTTCAATTAACAACATGTAAGACATTATTTAATATCAATGTATACAAATGCAAATAAACCAAAACTGGAAACAAAATTAATGAACAAAACAACTGTGAGGTTTCAGCAGATTTTAATTTACCTTTAAAATATGTCAGAAATATTGATTTTATTAAACTAAATTCTGCTGGAATCTCATGGTCATTTTGTTCATTAATGTAAACAAAATTACCGTTACCCTGTTTGCAGTTGACATTTTAAATTTATACAGCTCACTCTATAGTTTGTTCAAATTGCCAATTTCTTTATTTCTAATGTAATTTTTGAAGATTTTCCTACAAACCAAATACATAATAATTGAAAATTGACAAAAGTTTTCATTGAGTCCATGATAAATTTCAAGTACATTAAAACTTCTCTAATTCAAAGCTACGTGAGGCAGGAAAAAACTTCAAATTATTAGGTTGGTGCATAATTATCAGGCGTTTTTGTTGACGGCTTATTTGTTTAAAAAAATTGCTGTTTTGTTTACTTTTTTTAATAAAAATATTATTTTATTTTTAGGTTATAAAAATGCATATCGATAATCATCCTCATATTCGTCATATTATGCTTTACCACTTCGAAAAAGGATGGAAAGCAGCGCAGTCATTTCGTGATCTCAACGAACTTTTTGGCGAAGGAACAATCAGCGAAAGTCGATGCAGGAAATGGTTTGCCCGTTTCAAATCTGGTGACACTAGCTTGGAAGATAAGCCAGGAAGAGGTCGACCTTTAATCATGTTTTTGAACAGAAGCCATAATTCATCCCAGTGACAAGATTCTTCAGAAATGGAGCTTGCTCATTTTGTTGCAGCAAATCAATGAAAATTTGGACACGTTCAGCTTTATTGTTGTTGGAGAGTTGTGGGGGAACCAGTTGAATGGTCCACATTGAAGTCTTCAGCCAGCATTCGAGTTATCAAGTTTTTATCCTCTTCCACAGCTGCCAAAAGTGCCTGGTCATCAAAATCCAATGGTCGACCTCTTCCTGGTTTATCTTCCAAGCTAGTGTTGCCAGATTTGAAATGGGCAAATCATTTCCTGAATCAACTTTCGCTGATTGTTCCTTCGCTGAAAAGTTTGTTGAGATCACGAAATGACTGTGCTGCTTTCCATCCTTTTTCGAAGTGGTAAAGCATAATATGACAAATATGAGTATGATTATTGACACACATTTTTATAATCTAAAAATAAAATAATATTTTTATTAAAAAAAAGTCAACAAAACAGCAATTTAAAAAAAAATAACCTGCCAACAAAAATGCTTATAATTATGCACCAACCTAATACAAATGATTTGAGTTAGAAAATAGAGTAAAAAATGCTGATTCTGAATAGATTTATACTTTTACCTCTTTTTATTATATAAAGAATCTTTGATAGTTTTCTTTAAACAGTCTGTGTGATACTTTTTAGCAAACTGTTCAATATAACTAATGGAATTGAACAGTTTTGCAGGTACATCTTGTTGAGATAAAGTGAGAGGTCCTCTCACTTTGAACTGGAACAGTGTCTGAAAATTAGTGTCAGAGAGTAGATATACCTGTGTGAAAATTTCATGGAAATCCAATAATTAGGATCACTTTGGATAGAATAAATATTAAAATTTATTCAGATTTATTAAAATTTAAGTCAGAGAAGTTGAAAGTAACATAAATCAGTGTTGGGGACCACCAAAACCTTTGACTTGGAAAAAATTCAAGTTAAGAAATTCAAGTTAGAGGCATTAAATACCTATGCTATTCCATTGAGATCTACCAAGTGCTTTGTTTTCTTTGAGTTAAAGAAATATTCAAGTTACAAACATTTGAGTTAGAGAAGTTTTACTACACTTGTAAACTCGTGGTTTGAACTCCATTGGCCAAAATGTTTAACCAAAATATTTCTATTTAACAGTAATATTGCTGAATTGATGTAATTATCAGTTTTATTATGAAGTTTATTATCTGAAATAGATACTAATAAAGAAAACATGATATAGTAATAGATATATTAATAAGAGGTCAAAGAAAGAACAGTTAAGTAATAGTTGATTGGAGATGATTATAAGAATGTGGCACTTTAGTTTTTAGGAGACTTAAAAAAATATATTAAATCTGATAAGGTATATTCATAATATGCTGAACAACATAAATAAAATTTGCATATCAATAAACTTGCATTTAATTTGCTCTTAAGTCTCATTTCACACTTTTCATAAGTTTCATAATTAAAATTTCTTAGAAATGGCAAATGAATATTGAGAGTAGAATAATGATATAAACTAAACCAGTTTTTGACTAAGAAATTTTTATGAAAGTATGATTATTGTAGAAAGAACACTGCTAAGATGTAGTTATGAGAATGTAATATTTAGAAGTGTACAAAAAAAAGAAAATGTAGATGATAATGAACTAATATAATATATTAATCATAATAGAAAACTATTTTTAGATGATATAGTAACACTTAATAATATTTACTATTTCATTTAAACATTAAAATAAAAAAACTTTAGAATTATTTAACATTATTTCTTACATTTAAAAATCATTAAAACTATTTACTTTGATTTATTTTAAAATAATTTAACACATTACATTTGTTTACAAGTTATTAAATTTAACACTGCAGAGGTATTGTCAATCCTGAATTAAATCTTTAAATTAAGTAATAAACTGTTAGTATTAAATGCTTTTCAATCATCAGTAAACTTATTAACCTAATGATATAAAAATTCATTTTTACCTTGATTATTTCATCATGTTTAAATCTATTTATAAATTAAAATCTTTACTTTCAAGCTTACACTCATAAGCCAATGAAAAATATCAATTTATCTTGAAATGTTTTCAGAATTTATTAACTTCAATTTCAGAAACATATATCATATATAACCATTCTGATGTTTACAATCATTGTATTATTAAATTAATAGCATTAGAAACATTACAAAAGCATATAAAATGTCAAGAGAAATAATTTGATATATTATAAATTAAATTTCAATTTATGCTTCTTTTTAAATTGATTACATGTCAAAATCTTGATATAATAATCATTAATATTTTTTTTAACATTAACAAATGTTAAAAAAGCTGGAAAGTAATATAATAACTCACAGACACCTGTACTTATTCCAACATTTATTGAAAAAAATGAATGTTTTTGATCACTTTCAGAGTTTCTGATCAATTTACTGTGTTTCATAAATTGACTAAATTTTTACTTTCCTGTCTGTTATATATATAACAGAGGAAAAGTATGGCAATCCGGCAAAAAATGACTCCCCTGGATTTTTAAATCTGGAATTTGAAACGTCGAGAAATGCAAAAAAATTTGGGGGTAATTTCTGTGGGTATGGATTTTAGTGTGTGGTGGGACCACAAGTTTGTCCTGTGTAAACCCTGTTTGAAGCTTAATAACTCCTGTGCTTTTTGTCAAAAATTTCTGAATTTTTTCAGAGAGGTTTGTTTATTAGGGGTATTAATGCTATTAAATTTTGGTTTAAAGATTAAACCAAAAAAAGATCGAGGGGGTGGGGAAATAATGGGAGTAGTGTGTATCTCCAGTAGGGTTGAACTTAATGACAATTTTACTCGTTATTAGCATTTATAATTTTTTTATAAAACCCATCCCTACCCTCAAAATTAAGCTTTTTACCATTTTATAATAGTTAAAAATATAATAAAACATGATAACAGATGGTGCCACCATAATTTTAAATGTTGCCAGGAAAGTTGAGCAACTCATTGCTGGCTTATTTAATGTTGATAATCTGGTTATCCATATAACATTCTAATCCAAGTAATACTTCCTTTTTTCCAATTTTGTAATTATGTTTGTAATTTTAACCTTTCCTTTAATTTTGTCCTAGATTAATTTTAACTTCTCATATTTTAATTTTAAGATGTTAAAATGAAATCTAGGACAAATGTGAAGGATGTACAGACTATAAAAGAATTAGTAATTACATTACAGTATTATAAATAAATCCAGATTACTAACATTAAATATGAATTACAATGCCTATGATTTCTGGATTTTGATCAATTACAGTGGATACAAAAATTAATTTAAAATAAATGACTGATTGAAATTTATTTTATTGTTTAAATTTCAATTATAATACATTAAAATTTACTTTATTGATGTTAGCTTTGAATTATTTCTTTGTTAAACACAAAAATTAATTTTAATAACTCAAATATAACTGTTTTAAACATATTAAACATTAAGTTAATGCAAAAATTTTTATTTATTTTTTTATTGTTTGTTATATTATGCAATGCATTTTCCCTTCTAAAGTTCAAATTACTAAATCTGAAAAAATTATTTTTGACTGATATATATTACTATAAGGTTGACAAAAAAAAAAAATAAGGAGTTTAATTGTTTATGGATTTAAGTTTAAGAATTTTAGAATATAAAACTTTATTTTAAAATATTTGATTCATAATTATTTATAAAATGAGAATAAAATGTATTGAGTTAGAATAATAAATATAAAGATGATTTTTATATAATGACTTAACAGTTTGTTACTCATGCAATAATTTAAAATTATAATTGAAATAATTCAATATAACTATTACTTTTGATACAGCAACTGGTGAAGCACTATAGGTAAGATCCCAACAACTTTGTGGTATAATTTCATGTTGAACAGTTGATCTTGTGCATAGTGGAAACATGTATTCATTAGTTTTATTTTCTAAGTAGCATCTTCTACTGTCAACATCAATCAATGTTGGAGTTTCTCCTCGTGCCATTTACAAAAGTAATGGTATTGTTACTGGAACTGCATAGAAACTATCCAAAAAAGAACAGAAACATTTTATAATTCTAGCACATTGATTAAGAAGTTTTATATATAGATAATATCTGATAATGATAAAAATCATGAAATTAATAAATAATAATAATAAATAAATATTCCTGATAATATCCATAAAAAAGTTCTAATAATTAGCAATATTTTCAAATTTAAAACTATTTTAAAAAATAAAAAAGATGAAGAAAACAAGTTAATACTGATACAAGTCAACTTCAAATATCATTGTACTTATTCTTTACATGCATATGTATATATAATGTAAGAAATTTACAAAAAATTAAATAGTTTTTATATTACAAATTTGTTTTTATATACTAAAATTTACATGTTATTAATACATACAAAGCTTTTAAAATCTTCATTTTCTAAATATTCATATAGGGTATATTAATTTCTTAAAAGGTTCATTCAGACATTTGTAAATTCATATATTTAATATGAATTTACAAAATTCTGAATCATAGTAAAATTATGTAGTAAGAATAAATAACTAGCAACACATTCCATCATATTTAAATTTATACTTTACAATTCTGCTTCCATTGGAGTCACACATCAAAATTCCAACCAAGTACTTTTAGATGTTTCTCATCCATCATCATTCATCAGAATCTGCTTTCAGAAACAAATGTACCAAGTTCCTTAGCAAATGCTACTTTGTATTGAAACATCTCTTGAAATTTAAATTCAAATGCATGCATTCCTGTTCTGAAATTACTTTCTTTCCACATTCTAAATTCATTTAAACTGCATTTTCCTTGTAGTCAATCAAATATTTCTATATTCCTTTTGCTACTCTTTCTTACTAGCCACTTCCACCCTGATGACAGGCTATCAATGTCCTTAACATTAAAGATCTCTTTTCTCATGCCTTCCTCACAAATTTTTAACAAATTGTACTCATCACCTGTAATATTTAATAATTACCTTTGCCTTATCAAATCCCTCTTGGACATTCCTGTTATATGCCACAATGCTAAGCACTGAGTTTCTGATTCCCTTATGTAACTTTTCCTGATTTTCATTTAATCTCTTCACCAAACTCCTCTTCATGGCACCAATATAAAGCATCCATTGTCCTCTCTCTACTAATGATAGCTTGTATACACTCTTCTACTTTTAAATTATGTCTTTCTCATTCCTTAGACACTAAACACCATCTTATTTCATTTAAAGACATTCTTTTCCATCTGCCTCACCATCTTATTTCATTTAAAGACATTCTTTTCCATCTGCCTCACCATCTTTCTCCAAAAACTCCTATTCTTCCATCCAACAAAGTGGCCCAGAACTTTGTGAACTCTTGCTTCCCCTCCTAAAGTGTTTTTGTTCCATTGCATATCCCTCATAATCTGTTCCATTTCATCCTTTCCTAATTCATATGAAACAACTAAACTAGTATAATTCTTTTCTTAGATCCTCTATCCTAGATAATCTTCAATGACTGAAACAGTATATCCTAGACAATATACTGAATTACTAGAAATGTAAACAGGCTTGAATATGATTTTACAATATACTGATGTAATATATTCCTACCTTCTTTCCTAAACAACCAAGAATTGATCAAAATCTCTGACTGCTGTTCCTCACACAGTATCAGCTCTAAGCTAGCAATTGAGAGGCTGCCACAAAAATGACCCATCTTACCAGTTTCCCCAAATAATCAAATCATCACACCCACCTTAGCTCAATATGCACCCCTTGTTCATCCATTACTTTCTTTTCCATCTTTCACATCACTAATTCTGTTACAAATCCTACAATTGGATAGCCACAGAAGATCCCATGTTTCTGCTTATGGCAGGCACCATTAAAGACAAAGTATCTTTCATGTATTATCAAATAGACTGTGTCCAACAAAACTTTAAAATCTTTATTTTGTACTAATTGAATTCTCTTTGGTCTATTATGTTCTGTTACTTTATATACCTATATTGTAAAAATGAATAAACATTAACAGAAAAATAAATTTTTTTCAAAAAATCCACCTTTTAAAAATCCTATACATTGGCCCTTTGTAAATATGATTTATGGAAACAGAATGTATCTCTTTTATTTAGAAAAATTATTATAATTATTATCTAATAATTAATTATAGCTTTTACTTAAAAAATAATTTTTTTAATGTATTTATGCCGACTTTACCAAATATTTCTGAGGAATCCTGGATTCAATATTGAGAATGGTTTATCAAAAAAATGCTAGGAAAGTTAATGGTCAAATATCACTATCCATAATGCTAGATAATAAATCAAAAGTTAAACTCATTAACCATATGGCAGAATTTTATGGGTAATAAATATGACATTGCATTGAGTTAAGATGAATATATACGAGTTTGCAATTTGAATAATCTTAGATTATAATAAAATCAATAATGTATTTGAAGTCAATAATTTAAATTGATGAAAGCTTTTAACTCAAATTATTGATTTCAAATATAAACCTAATTTAAAAATTTTTTATCAAATGTATTCATTTTTAATATTGTGCCATTGCCAGAGAGATTTTGTAATGTTTACATATTGACGTGAACCAGTAGCCTCAAATAAAAGGTGGACTCCACACGGAACTGTTATTTTCTTCATGTGCGTGTGAAAGGATAAGTGAGAAGACACTTTTTTGTATAATTTTGTAAATGTTTTAATAAACCTANCGCTCTCGGTTAATAGTGCTTTTAGTGATGACGAAGAAAACATTGTTTAATTATATTATTGTGTATCACTTAAGAAAATTTTAATAAAGATATTTATCTTAATTATGAAAATATAATAGCATGTTTTTTAATTTTTGGAACCTAACCCTCCTTTTCATACTAGTTCTTTGTTTGTATAACACGGATTCGCATAACACGGCAATTTTTTGGAATGTAACTACCATGTTATACAGGGGTTACCTGTATATAACTTCCAATTAGAATTTTAAAATATTTGTCAAACAAGAACTATATTTTATGAATGTCATGCATTTACATTACCAGAGTTAAAAAAAAAAAATCATCTTACTTTTTAAAAGAATCCACTAGATGATTTCTACTACAAATGATTAAGCCAGAAGCTTTTTTTCTTATTTTAAATAATTCTTCTCTCAAATTCTCTCCATCAGCATAACTCCCCAATGAGAGTGCAAGAAAGTGATATTTGCAAACTTGTCGACATAAATCATCTACCAGCTACAATATATTAAATAAATATTTTACTTCTATCATATGGAAATTCACTTAACTCATATTATTTTATATTTAAAATATATTTAATTAATAAATGTTTTAAACTCTTTAAATCCATCTTGATAATAAAAACAACAGATAATATACTTTGAATAAACGTATTTTTCCCAATACGCATTCGATTATCTAAAACAGTTCCCAACTAGTGTGTCACAAAGCAATTCAAAATATGCTGTGAGATGACTTAACACTAGAAAGACTAAAGAGGTCATTTTGATCTTTTTTGGTTTTTTAATACACAATATATTTATATGATAACAATGATCAGAAGGTCCTGAAGCATTTTGACTTTTCCCAGTAGCACTGTATAGTTTCATGTGGCTCAGGCAAATTTGAATTAGTGAGTTCCATGTACTATTGACTTCAGACATTTTTCTTCAGGGGAATTTTTTGGGAAAATATTTTCTTATAAAAAATTGGTCTGTGGCTCCTGTTGGTGGGGTCCAGGCAAATTCCCTTTTTTCCCGTAGGATAATGCTGACTTTTCCTAACTTTTCATGGACAACATGTGTGTGAAAGGAAATTATTTTTCTCAAAATCCCCACGGATCATTTTGATCCATGACTTCTTCCTATGTTGACTGCCTGGAAAATGCCCGGTTAGATTCTCTACTTAAGTAAGAATGACATTTGACCAGCAGACCAACAGCTTGGGGAGAGTGTAATACTTTGTTTTGTGGAATCATATTTTGCCTTATATGCACTGTGAACAAAAGCAAGTGTGGTTTGCCACCATCAGTAAAGGACAAGGCTAATCTGTATTCCATAAAGTTCCTAAAATCTTGCAATTGCCATCTATCAATGCAAGCCTCAGAAGAATATGACAGTTCTCAGTACATTACATCTGTCTGTCTACATAAATTTCCAAGAAGAAACCTGATTCTGTTCTTTTCTACAACTCAACAAAGTTTGGTGTTGATGTAGTGAATCAAATGGCATGCATACATCAAGTAAGATGGCCTGTATAGTACATGTTTTCTACAACATGCTTGATTTTGTGTCCATGGCCATCAATGTGTGGATATTGTGCAAAGAGGGAACAGGAGCAAAAAAAGAAAACATTGTTACTGACACAAATGCAAACTAAAACCAGTATGTTATGTGTTGTGTGTGGAACATGAACAGAAAGCATCAAAAAGCAAGTTTCTTGTGTAAGTTGCCACAATGAATGAGAAACAGTAAGTTTGTTGTTTAAGTGTAATTTATATAATTAATTTTGATAGGTAAATTAGCCACTTTTCCAAATACTACTGTTGATGGCCGTGGCTTTTCTCATATTTTTAAATGGGATAAGATAATTGTTTATTTTGAATAAAATAAGCCCTAAAATTATGTTTTCATACATGGGTCGAAATAACCCACAATGGTGCACAAAGGTATGAATAACTCCTTGACTTTGTAGTGTTAAAATAGTATACTTTAAGATTTAAAAAAATTAACAAAATGTAGTTTTAAACATTAACCATATTTCACATTTTGTATCAGTCAAGTGTCTTGAAGTAGTTGTGATGGATGTAGCTATGTGCATGCAATAGAGCACTATATTAATTGTGAGGCCTTATAAATAAGTGTTGCATACAAATCTTTGACTCTCTTGATATTTTACTATGTAGTATAATCATTTTCAGATATGCAAAATACTGTAGATATTACTATTAAAAAATGACAAACATCTGCAGGGCCTTTCAGAGAAAATGTGAGGCCTGTGGCAACTAATATTTTATCGTAATATCGTAAAACACTGTTAGCACAGAACAGACTGAACAGGCCTTGTCTCTGCTTTTATGCCTTTTTTGCTGGGGGTGGGATTCAGAGATGGAGGAAGGGGTAATTTTTGAGTGTATGGTGATTGGGCAGAAGAACATCCCCTCCAGCCTGGGGTTGGTCAGAATGATATACTTCTAGCCAATCAAGGACTGGCTTATATCTCTCAATCCTCTCTGACTCCTGTTGTTAAATGTTAAAATTTAGCAAATCACTTTGCCTTTTCCTATATTTTTGTCTAACATATTGAGTTGCTGAGTTGAGCCCCTAGTATTGCGAGGCCTGGGGCAGCTGCTTCTGCTGTCTTCCCTTTGATTGGCACTGAACATCTGTATAATTTGAGATAACACCACAAGCCTGATAGAAAGTAGTGGTAAAGGCATAATGCTGTGTCTGCTTTCCATTTTTCACTCATGTTTATGAATTAATAAAGGCAAATTTTTTCACCAAAGCAGAAATATACATAAAGCACACATCCTAACATAAACTGACAAGTGCTAACTGAAGACATCCATGCTCAAGACTGAACCTGTGATGTCGAAAATGGACATGATTAATGTCAGAGAGGTGGGGAGGGACTAGTGACTAATAGTTCATGAGAAGGGGAGGATCATTACATGAAAGTTTGCAAGTTTTGCCATATATATCGATAAAGATTGAAAGTGTACGAAATAGCAAATTGTACAAAAGTATAATGCACAAAAGTAAAGGACCACCTGTACATATAACATTATATCATTCAATGGGATATAAATGGTTTCAAGGTATTTCATCTAATAAAATTTTGCTTTAATAAATCCATAAGGTTATCTATGGATTTAAGTTCATTATGCCTAATGTCATATTACTTTTATTTTTCTAAGTTTCATGTCAGCAGCAACTATATGACAACTATATTATCTAGCAAAAATTTGTAAAAAGTTTCATATTTTTACAATATTTGCAAAAATATATTTATTCTAATTGAATGAAAAAACAAATAAATACTAAATATAACAAATAAGATAAATATCAAAGATGTTAATCACACTGTAGTTAGCCAAAAGATTTTCTAATCACAACATATAATTTACATCTCTGATAATTATACTTATCTTGCCTGTTTTCTTTGTTGAGATTTCTTTATAAAGAGTAGATTCTATGAGGTGGGAAATAAAGGCTGAAGTTTGCAAATAATATCCAATAATAATAATAATAATAATAATAACTGAACTCTTTTCTTAAAATCTCACTAATATAATTTATATTTACTAACTTTCACTTTTTTCCAAATAATGTAAACATATGTTCAATTAACAACATGTAAGACATTATTTAATATCAATGTATACAAATGCAAATAAACCAAAACTGGAAACAAAATTAATGAACAAAACAACTGTGAGGTTTCAGCAGATTTTAATTTACCTTTAAAATATGTCAGAAATATTGATTTTATTAAACTAAATTCTGCTGGAATCTCATGGTCATTTTGTTCATTAATGTAAACAAAATTACCGTTACCCTGTTTGCAGTTGACATTTTAAATTTATACAGCTCACTCTATAGTTTGTTCAAATTGCCAATTTCTTTATTTCTAATGTAATTTTTGAAGATTTTCCTACAAACCAAATACATAATAATTGAAAATTGACAAAAGTTTTCATTGAGTCCATGATAAATTTCAAGTACATTAAAACTTCTCTAATTCAAAGCTACGTGAGGCAGGAAAAAACTTCAAATTATTAGGTTGGTGCATAATTATCAGGCGTTTTTGTTGACGGGTTATTTGTTTAAAAAAATTGCTGTTTTGTTTACTTTTTTTAATAAAAATATTATTTTATTTTTAGGTTATAAAAATGCATATCGATAATCATCCTCATATTCGTCATATTATGCTTTACCACTTCGAAAAAGGATGGAAAGCAGCGCAGTCATTTCGTGATCTCAACGAACTTTTTGGCGAAGGAACAATCAGCGAAAGTCGATGCAGGAAATGGTTTGCCCGTTTCAAATCTGGTGACACTAGCTTGGAAGATAAGCCAGGAAGAGGTCGACCTTTAATCATGTTTTTGAACAGAAGCCATAATTCATCCCAGTGACAAGATTCTTCAGAAATGGAGCTTGCTCATTTTGTTGCAGCAAATCAATGAAAATTTGGACACGTTCAGCTTTATTGTTGTTGGAGAGTTGTGGGGGAACCAGTTGAATGGTCCACATTGAAGTCTTCAGCCAGCATTCGAGTTATCAAGTTTTTATCCTCTTCCACAGCTGCCAAAAGTGCCTGGTCATCAAAATCCAATGGTCGACCTCTTCCTGGTTTATCTTCCAAGCTAGTGTTGCCAGATTTGAAATGGGCAAATCATTTCCTGCATCAACTTTCGCTGATTGTTCCTTCGCTGAAAAGTTTGTTGAGATCACGAAATGACTGTGCTGCTTTCCATCCTTTTTCGAAGTGGTAAAGCATAATATGACAAATATGAGTATGATTATTGACACACATTTTTATAATCTAAAAATAAAATAATATTTTTATTAAAAAAAAGTCAACAAAACAGCAATTTAAAAAAAAATAACCTGCCAACAAAAATGCTTATAATTATGCACCAACCTAATACAAATGATTTGAGTTAGAAAATAGAGTAAAAAATGCTGATTCTGAATAGATTTATACTTTTACCTCTTTTTATTATATAAAGAATCTTTGATAGTTTTCTTTAAACAGTCTGTGTGATACTTTTTAGCAAACTGTTCAATATAACTAATGGAATTGAACAGTTTTGCAGGTACATCTTGTTGAGATAAAGTGAGAGGTCCTCTCACTTTGAACTGGAACAGTGTCTGAAAATTAGTGTCGGAGAGTAGATATACCTGTGTGAAAATTTCATGGAAATCCAATAATTAGGATCACTTTGGATAGAATAAATATTAAAATTTATTCAGATTTATTAAAATTTAAGTCAGAGAAGTTGAAAGTAACATAAATCAGTGTTGGGGACCACCAAAACCTTTGACTTGGAAAAAATTCAAGTTAAGAAATTCAAGTTAGAGGCATTAAATACCTATGCTATTCCATTGAGATCTACCAAGTGCTTTGTTTTCTTTGAGTTAAAGAAATATTCAAGTTACAAACATTTGAGTTAGAGAAGTTTTACTACACTTTTAAACTCATGGTTTGAACTCCATTGGCCAAAATGTTTAACCAAAATATTTCTATTTAACAGTAATATTGCTGAATTGATGTAATTATCAGTTTTATTATGAAGTTTATTATCTGAAATAGATACTAATAAAGAAAACATGATATAGTAATAGATATATTAATAAGAGGTCAAAGAAAGAACAGTTAAGTAATAGTTGATTGGAGATGATTATAAGAATGTGGCACTTTAGTTTTTAGGAGACTTAAAAAAATATATTAAATCTGATAAGGTATATTCATAATATGCTGAACAACATAAATAAAATTTGCATATCAATAAACTTGCATTTAATTTGCTCTTAAGTCTCATTTCACACTTTTCATAAGTTTCATAATTAAAATTTCTTAGAAATGGCAAATGAATATTGAGAGTAGAATAATGATATAAACTAAACCAGTTTTTGACTAAGAAATTTTTATGGAAGTATGATTATTGTAGAAAGAACACTGCTAAGATGTAGTTATGAGAATGTAATATTTAGAAGTGTACAAAAAAAAGAAAATGTAGATGATAATGAACTAATATAATATATTAATCATAATAGAAAACTATTTTTAGATGATATAGTAACACTTAATAATATTTACTATTTCATTTAAACATTAAAATAAAAAAACTTTAGAATTATTTAACATTATTTCTTACATTTAAAAATCATTAAAACTATTTACTTTGATTTATTTTAAAATAATTTAACACATTACATTTGTTTACAAGTTATTAAATTTAACACTGGAGAGGTATTGTCAATCCTGAATTAAATCTTTAAATTAAGTAATAAACTGTTAGTATTAAATGCTTTTCAATCATCAGTAAACTTATTAACCTAATGATATAAAAATTCATTTTTACCTTGATTATTTCATCATGTTTAAATCTATTTATAAATTAAAATCTTTACTTTCAAGCTTACACTCATAAGCCAATGAAAAATATCAATTTATCTTGAAATGTTTTCAGAATTTATTAACTTCAATTTCAGAAACATATATCATATATAACCATTCTGATGTTTACAATCATTGTATTATTAAATTAATAGCATTAGAAACATTACAAAAGCATATAAAATGTCAAGAGAAATAATTTGATATATTATAAATTAAATTTCAATTTATGCTTCTTTTTAAATTGATTACATGTCAAAATCTTGATATAATAATCATTAATATTTTTTTTAACATTAACAAATGTTAAAAAAGCTGGAAAGTAATATAATAACTCACAGACACCTGTACTTATTCCAACATTTATTGAAAAAAATGAATGTTTTTGATCACTTTCAGAGTTTCTGATCAATTTACTGTGTTTCATAAATTGACTAAATTTTTACTTTCCTGTCTGTTATATATATAACAGAGGAAAAGTATGGCAATCCGGCAAAAAATGACTCCCCTGGATTTTTAAATCTGGAATTTGAAACGTCGAGAAATGCAAAAAAATTTGGGGGTAATTTCTGTGGGTATGGATTTTAGTGTGTGGTGGGACCACAAGTTTGTCCTGTGTAAACCCTGTTTGAAGCTTAATAACTCCTGTGCTTTTTGTCAAAAATTTCTGAATTTTTTCAGAGAGGTTTGTTTATTAGGGGTATTAATGCTATTAAATTTTGGTTTAAAGATTAAACCAAAAAAAGATCGAGGGGGTGGGGAAATAATGGGAGTAGTGTGTATCTCCAGTAGGGTTGAACTTAATGACAATTTTACTCGTTATTAGCATTTATAATTTTTTTATAAAACCCATCCCTACCCTCAAAATTAAGCTTTTTACCATTTTATAATAGTTAAAAATATAATAAAACATGATAACAGATGGTGCCACCATAATTTTAAATGTTGCCAGGAAAGTTGAGCAACTCATTGCTGGCTTATTTAATGTTGATAATCTGGTTATCCATATAACATTCTAATCCAAGTAATACTTCCTTTTTTCCAATTTTGTAATTATGTTTGTAATTTTAACCTTTCCTTTAATTTTGTCCTAGATTAATTTTAACTTCTCATATTTTAATTTTAAGATGTTAAAATGAAATCTAGGACAAATGTGAAGGATGTACAGACTATAAAAGAATTAGTAATTACATTACAGTATTATAAATAAATCCAGATTACTAACATTAAATATGAATTACAATGCCTATGATTTCTGGATTTTGATCAATTACAGTGGATACAAAAATTAATTTAAAATAAATGACTGATTGAAATTTATTTTATTGTTTAAATTTCAATTATAATACATTAAAATTTACTTTATTGATGTTAGCTTTGAATTATTTCTTTGTTAAACACAAAAATTAATTTTAATAACTCAAATATAACTGTTTTAAACATATTAAACATTAAGTTAATGCAAAAATTTTTATTTATTTTTTTATTGTTTGTTATATTATGCAATGCATTTTCCCTTCTAAAGTTCAAATTACTAAATCTGAAAAAATTATTTTTGACTGATATATATTACTATAAGGTTGACAAAAAAAAAAAATAAGGAGTTTAATTGTTTATGGATTTAAGTTTAAGAATTTTAGAATATAAAACTTTATTTTAAAATATTTGATTCATAATTATTTATAAAATGAGAATAAAATGTATTGAGTTAGAATAATAAATATAAAGATGATTTTTATATAATGACTTAACAGTTTGTTACTCATGCAATAATTTAAAATTATAATTGAAATAATTCAATATAACTATTACTTTTGATACAGCAACTGGTGAAGCACTATAGGTAAGATCCCAACAACTTTGTGGTATAATTTCATGTTGAACAGTTGATCTTGTGCATAGTGGAAACATGTATTCATTAGTTTTATTTTCTAAGTAGCATCTTCTACTGTCAACATCAATCAATGTTGGAGTTTCTCCTCGTGCCATTTACAAAAGTAATGGTATTGTTACTGGAACTGCATAGAAACTATCCAAAAAAGAACAGAAACATTTTATAATTCTAGCACATTGATTAAGAAGTTTTATATATAGATAATATCTGATAATGATAAAAATCATGAAATTAATAAATAATAATAATAAATAAATATTCCTGATAATATCCATAAAAAAGTTCTAATAATTAGCAATATTTTCAAATTTAAAACTATTTTAAAAAATAAAAAAGATGAAGAAAACAAGTTAATACTGATACAAGTCAACTTCAAATATCATTGTACTTATTCTTTACATGCATATGTATATATAATGTAAGAAATTTACAAAAAATTAAATAGTTTTTATATTACAAATTTGTTTTTATATACTAAAATTTACATGTTATTAATACATACAAAGCTTTTAAAATCTTCATTTTCTAAATATTCATATAGGGTATATTAATTTCTTAAAAGGTTCATTCAGACATTTGTAAATTCATATATTTAATATGAATTTACAAAATTCTGAATCATAGTAAAATTATGTAGTAAGAATAAATAACTAGCAACACATTCCATCATATTTAAATTTATACTTTACAATTCTGCTTCCATTGGAGTCACACATCAAAATTCCAACCAAGTACTTTTAGATGTTTCTCATCCATCATCATTCATCAGAATCTGCTTTCAGAAACAAATGTACCAAGTTCCTTAGCAAATGCTACTTTGTATTGAAACATCTCTTGAAATTTAAATTCAAATGCATGCATTCCTGTTCTGAAATTACTTTCTTTCCACATTCTAAATTCATTTAAACTGCATTTTCCTTGTAGTCAATCAAATATTTCTATATTCCTTTTGCTACTCTTTCTTACTAGCCACTTCCACCCTGATGACAGGCTATCAATGTCCTTAACATTAAAGATCTCTTTTCTCATGCCTTCCTCACAAATTTTTAACAAATTGTACTCATCACCTGTAATATTTAATAATTACCTTTGCCTTATCAAATCCCTCTTGGACATTCCTGTTATATGCCACAATGCTAAGCACTGAGTTTCTGATTCCCTTATGTAACTTTTCCTGATTTTCATTTAATCTCTTCACCAAACTCCTCTTCATGGCACCAATATAAAGCATCCATTGTCCTCTCTCTACTAATGATAGCTTGTATACACTCTTCTACTTTTAAATTATGTCTTTCTCATTCCTTAGACACTAAACACCATCTTATTTCATTTAAAGACATTCTTTTCCATCTGCCTCACCATCTTATTTCATTTAAAGACATTCTTTTCCATCTGCCTCACCATCTTTCTCCAAAAACTCCTATTCTTCCATCCAACAAAGTGGCCCAGAACTTTGTGAACTCTTGCTTCCCCTCCTAAAGTGTTTTTGTTCCATTGCATATCCCTCATAATCTGTTCCATTTCATCCTTTCCTAATTCATATGAAACAACTAAACTAGTATAATTCTTTTCTTAGATCCTCTATCCTAGATAATCTTCAATGACTGAAACAGTATATCCTAGACAATATACTGAATTACTAGAAATGTAAACAGGCTTGAATATGATTTTACAATATACTGATGTAATATATTCCTACCTTCTTTCCTAAACAACCAAGAATTGATCAAAATCTCTGACTGCTGTTCCTCACACAGTATCAGCTCTAAGCTAGCAATTGAGAGGCTGCCACAAAAATGACCCATCTTACCAGTTTCCCCAAATAATCAAATCATCACACCCACCTTAGCTCAATATGCACCCCTTGTTCATCCATTACTTTCTTTTCCATCTTTCACATCACTAATTCTGTTACAAATCCTACAATTGGATAGCCACAGAAGATCCCATGTTTCTGCTTATGGCAGGCACCATTAAAGACAAAGTATCTTTCATGTATTATCAAATAGACTGTGTCCAACAAAACTTTAAAATCTTTATTTTGTACTAATTGAATTCTCTTTGGTCTATTATGTTCTGTTACTTTATATACCTATATTGTAAAAATGAATAAACATTAACAGAAAAATAAATTTTTTTCAAAAAATCCACCTTTTAAAAATCCTATACATTGGCCCTTTGTAAATATGATTTATGGAAACAGAATGTATCTCTTTTATTTAGAAAAATTATTATAATTATTATCTAATAATTAATTATAGCTTTTACTTAAAAAATAATTTTTTTAATGTATTTATGCCGACTTTACCAAATATTTCTGAGGAATCCTGGATTCAATATTGAGAATGGTTTATCAAAAAAATGCTAGGAAAGTTAATGGTCAAATATCACTATCCATAATGCTAGATAATAAATCAAAAGTTAAACTCATTAACCATATGGCAGAATTTTATGGGTAATAAATATGACATTGCATTGAGTTAAGATGAATATATACGAGTTTGCAATTTGAATAATCTTAGATTATAATAAAATCAATAATGTATTTGAAGTCAATAATTTAAATTGATGAAAGCTTTTAACTCAAATTATTGATTTCAAATATAAACCTAATTTAAAAATTTTTTATCAAATGTATTCATTTTTAATATTGTGCCATTGCCAGAGAGATTTTGTAATGTTTACATATTGACGTGAACCAGTAGCCTCAAATAAAAGGTGGACTCCACACGGAACTGTTATTTTCTTCATGTGCGTGTGAAAGGATAAGTGAGAAGACACTTTTTTGTATAATTTTGTAAATGTTTTAATAAACCTAATTTATATAATTAAAATAAATAAACAATAATACATTTAATAATATAAAGCTTTTATATTTTTATATAAACTACAATATCTACATAATGTTATAAATGAGAATTATTATAATTTAAATTTAAAATTCTTACAACAGTTGATGTAGAAATCTAAATGGAAGAAATGGAAAAGAAAGCAATATGTAACTAATTGATAACATAAAATGTATACCGAAAAACAGCAATAATTGAGTCAGCATATAAAAAAAATTTGTAACATATATTTTAAAACGAAAAAGAAATAATTAAGATTATATAGCAGATGTTCCAAGTAAAATGCCCTAATTAAATTAATAATAATAAAAACTTTATACATGCAAAATATAATCTTAAATGTTTTAATCAATTTTCAGTATTTGCTCCTGTTTTTCTATATTGTTTATCCACAATTGTTTATGGTAAACTTATTTTTCAATACGTGTAAAGGTATTTATGGTTCTAAAACAAACTATTACTATATTTAAAATTTTTTCAAATTGTAAATATAGTAACAACAATTTAAATATAAATATCTTCGTTTAATAAAAATGTATGTAAGGAAAAATATATAAAATTACAATTAGAGCTATATTTAAAAAACAAATTATTTCATTTAAAAACAAAATTATATTAGATATTTTATTATATATTTTTTTATTTTATTAAATGTGTTCATAAAATTCTAAAATTTCCAGAGAATTTCTGAAGTATTTTAATTACGGAACAAAATATAAATATATTTCATTCTGCATTTGTACATAAAA